TATGATTCATTCAACTACAATCTTGGCAAATACATAGACTGGGCTCTCTCACCATATGCAACATCTGCAGGTTCATTTTTTAAAGATGCCTTCAATTTCAAATATACACTAGAACAACTAAATTCGAAAGCCTTAATGGCTAGTTTTGATGTTGTGTCACTCTTCACCGAAGTCCCAGCCAATGAATCTTGCAATATTGCACTCGACCTCTACATTAATGACCCCAACAAGTTAATGCACATCCCCAGCACACTTTTTGCTTCTCTCTTAGAAATTACAATGACTAAAACCAACTTCATTTTCAACAACGAACATTTCCTTCAAATAGATGGTTTAAGTATGGGCAATCCTGTTTTGCCCGTTCTTGCCAATATATTTATGACCCAGATTGAAACACAAGCCATACATTCTGTGCTTCAACTCCCACTATACTATTTTACCCTACATTACCAAAATTGGTATAAACAGAGATATTATTATTGGGCAAGGATTTGATGGTGCATCGACAATGGCTGGTCATACATCAGGCATTCAGAAACAAATTCAGGAAACATTACCCAAGGCATTGTTTGTTCACTGTTCTGCTCATTTCCTTAATTTGGATATTAATGATCAGTCATCAGTTGCAGCAATCAGAAATACTTGTGATATTATGGAGTTAATAGTTTTTTTTGCAATAGCACTTTACACCAAAGTACACTTGGCATGAAGATACCACTTTTTTATGCTACTCAATGGACAGCTAAGCATCAAAGTATCAGTTTTTTCTTTACATTATGAAACTATCATAAAAGCTCTGGAAACACTGTCTGAGCATTCAAACAGTGAAAATAGAACAAAAGCCATTTCTTTTAAACCAACTTTAGAAAATTCCCAATTTATTTATGTAATGTGCCTTATTTCAAAATATTCTGCATTAATGGAACTACTGTCAGCTCAGCTACAATCCACCAAAGCCAACATACTTCATGTCAAAACTTATTACCAGTTTTGTTGATGTGCTGAAGCATGACTGGTCCAATTGTGAGGAAAAAAGCTCAGAAATATGCTTAGAATCTTGCACCAAACTAGGTGATGCTTCCCTCATTCTTCCTTGCTTGTCTCAAAAACAAGCATACCACTCTAATGTTTCCTCAAAAACACCAGAAGAATATTACAAAAGAACAGTTTTTATACCATATATAGATGGATTACTTTCATCGAAAATTGACTGATTTTTTTAAATAATAGTGAAGTGATGGATGTTTTATCCGTGATCCCAACAAATCAACCCCAAAATATTGAAAATATCATTAAATTATACAATTTAGTAAACCTAGCTGCTGAACTACAATTGTGGGAATGTGAACAGCAATCCAGTAAAGACGAGGAATTATCAAAAGAGAAACTGCTAGAAGAAACCAAAAGGTATCCAGATCTTCATTTTGCCATCAGAATAGCCCTTACTCTTCCATCTTCCACCGCAGAGGCAGAGCAATCTCTTTTGGCAATGTGTAAACTGAAAACTTGGCTAAGATCTACAATGAAATCAGACCGACTAAGCAACTTGACCCTTATTCATGTCAACAAGTGTTTAAATTAAAATGTAAAAGAAAAAGTAATTATGCTACTGGCAAATTACACTTGCCACTTTAAGTGGGAATAGATTACGTTATAGCCACCAATAACATTTTGCATGCAGTCTCTTAATATCACTAATAAGCTAATTTTCTATAAAGATGATAAAAATATATTTATGGATCTTTGATAATGGAAGTATTTTAGTTTTAGCAAATTAAAATCATTAAATTGGCTTCATTTCCTTAACTCTCTCAATATGGGCTTGGTCCATTTGACCGACAATGTGACCTCTTTGTACTCGTTTAAATTCTTTATAGATTCAATACATCTAACTTTCAATATAGCGTGTATATCTTCACAAAAGTTGGCAGTCTTTCACATACAAAAAATCCTATTTTTTCATGAAGTATTTTTAATAAAATAAAATAAAGATTTGTCCAAGAATATGTTGAATATTTGTTTTGAATAGTCCCTGTACAAAGTAATTTTAATGCTAAAATTAAAAATACTTTTCCTCATCTCAAAAAATCTCTAATTTCCATTGTGTAATCCCTTAATCCTCCTAAATACACTTCAATCGTTTTTTTTTCAGTAAAACACTTTAGTTTATGTTATTTTCTCTATCCTATCTCAAAATGGGTTTGATCAATTCAACCAACCTCGTAAACACCAAAAATAAATCTAAAAAAACCCAAATTACCCTTTTTTCTTTCTAGAATGATTTCAAATTGTAACATGAAACTACATTGTTATTAGTTGTCCAAATGTGCTTATTTATTGGTTTTATTTATTGTAATATAATTATCTTGCAAGCTATAAGGTCAAAAACACTTTTTATTCGACTTTATAAACTCGATTTGTTATGGTAATAGAAAAAAATCTTTCCATGGATGATAAGGGGTTAAAAGTACGATCTTTTTACATTTTATGCAAAATAGAAATAAACAGATATAAATAATATAGTAGTGATACAAGTCAGATTAAATTTTTGTTTTATTTCTATAACTTGTGGAAGTATTTTGATATATGTTCTGTCAAAAATAAATTTGCTATCAGGTATTACAAGTTCCATAGATAAGAAATTCTTACGGTTACTGTCAAAACCAGTAAATGTTATCAATGATGAATCATTACATAAGTCTGTTTCTTGAATGTTTTGTTACTGCTTTATATATTATTAGCAGATAAAAAAGTGTAATTATTTTACAGTATGCTACTTTTATTTGCAGTGTAATTAGACTTAAGTTAAAACGCATTTTGACTTTAAAAATTCTTCTTTCATAGTATCTGTAACAAGATTTTCATAAAGCATGAAAAAGGCTGTAAACAGAGCACAGCTAAATAAAATAGCACAAAACAAAATAGGAAATGTTAAAGGAAACTTTGTTTGATAAAAGCTAAAGAAAATTTATTGATGGATAATCTTTCGTAAATTAAACTGTTATACTATATGATTTATCTTGTACTGAGATTTATTAAACTATAAATGGTTGCGTCAGTGTTTCATATGTTTTCATGCTCAGTTTCATCTCACCCATTACATTCCTTTTCTCAGATACATTAATTACAACTTGAAATAGTATAAATAACATTTTGAAATTTCTCATTAGGAAATAATTTATAAAAAATCAGCAATGAGATCTAGAACTGATCTAAAAATTTAACCTGGCTGGTAGATATAGATTGATTAAACACGTATTGTTGTTGTAACATTTCTTCCAGGTCTGCCTGCAGTTTCTATAGATTTCACATGTATTAGGTCGTCAAAAAATTAATGTCGCATTTTGGAACACTTTCATTAATCACCCCTCATAAAACGTACATTACATATAATAGTTTAACAAACCACATAAGCGTCATGTTAGTGTAGCCTACATAATGTGTAAAGTTTAGTACACTATAATTCCTCATAGTGATGGCATATGACGAGACACACGCTCAGCATGTAATGCTGTTTGAATACAAGAAGGGAAACAACGTCTCTATAGCCACAAAGAATATCAAAGAAGTTTATGGAAATTTCTGTACGTTTATAAGTGTCAACGATGGTTCAGAAAATTTTGTTCAGGTGATTTTAGCCTTAAAAACTGTGATAGCAGGAGCCGACATATTGGAATTGATATTGATGCTCAGAAGGCGCTTGCTGAGTCTAACCCAAGGCAACACCATTGTAAAATGGCCCTGAAATTGTGTGTCTCTGATGAAAAAATAGGTAAACATCTAAGGGACATGGGAGAACTACATAAAGAAGGTGTTTGGGTGCCTCACGAACTCTACAATGATCATCGTTTCCATCGTGTGAACATGGCTTCATCTCTTCTGGTGCATAATGTGCATGAACCATGTTTGGATAGAATTGTCACCGGTGATGAAAAATGGATTCTCTATGCAAATATTAAATGCCAAAAACAATGGCTCAGTCCTAGACAAAATCTACTTCCAACCCAAAATCCTGGACTCCATCTGCAAAAAGTCATGCTTTGTATTTAGTGGGACTTCAAAGGAGTAATTCATTTCGAACTCCTCAATCCACAGCGAACTGTCAATGCAGAGATCTTTAGTCAGCAATTGGAATGTTTAAATCAAGCCCTTCATCAGAAATGCCCTTCACTCGTCAATTGGAAAGGTGTTCTTCTCCACGATAATGAACGTTCACATGTGGCACATTTGACGCAACACAAGATTATGGAGTTGGGTTGGGAAGTTCTCACCATCAGATTACCATCTTTTTTGTTTGCTGCAACACCAACTTAATGGGAAATTGTATGCAAATGTGGAAGGTGTTAAAGAAGACATTGACATGTTTTTGCTTCAAAGCCAAGTGATTTCTTTAATCAGAGCATTAACAACTTGATTGTAATATGGAAAAACATCATCAATAAGAATGGAGACTATTTCATTTAAAAAAGAAGCAACATTAATTTCTTGACGACCTAGTATTATAGTTGCAATATGACTGCTATACCTATAGCTTCTCTACAAAACATTTGTTTTGTGGCTGCAACTGGACTACTAACTCAGTGTAATTTATTTACTAGCTCTGTAACACACATGCTAAGAACTCCTTCTTGACTGCTTTTATCTGTTACTCAGCTGTCAGATTTGTGTAAAAACATGTCTTTAAATTCAAAAACAATAGCTGCTGTTTATTACAGATCACAAGCATCAGATACATTTTCTAGTCACTTTACAGATCAATATTTTGGTTAATTTGCCAAGGATAAACACCAAATATTATTCCTCTTTAAGATGCATATACACGTACTTGTCACATAAGTCAGCTAATTGTTACATGCACACTACAGAAGTCTTAATTTTTAAATTTATATATACATCTTTATACAAACATTCCTTGTCTTTTCTCAAACTTTTACATCTAACAGTTATTAAAAAATTACATGAATTACCTCTCCTATAGAAGTTTTCAGCATCACACTTACTTGACACATGGGAAATTTTAAAACCATTGCTTCCTGGAGAAGACCCACTATACACTTCACCTTCTTTGAACTTGCCTTAAATTTATAGTGATAAAAAAAGGTATTATTCTTCACAGAAAACATATTTCTAGTGACAAAAATAAAATAAGTATCAGAAAGATACTGGTTGGAAAGTGAGCTGTATACAGTATGGATAGATAGCTAATACTTCAAAATGTTGTTGATTTAAACTTATCTTTTGTATTTCCTTAAATCACATTGTAACATAGTTTGCAAATTTTTGTTCTTAAGTTTCAATACAACAACATCTCTTTCTTTCTGTTGATTCTTGTTCTTGTTTGATTTAGCACAAAGTTACAGCAATGGGCTATTGATCCCTAGATTTCAGCATTACAAGCCATTTAGTTTTCCAGTTAGTCATTGGGGGACATCTGTTTCAGTTGAATACATTCATACATCTAAGTACACTGAGGAATATAATTTTTCCACTCTTTATATCTCATAGAATTTTTAAAAAAAGCATATGAGAGAGAAAGATCTTGGAAGAAATGGAACATGTTCATTCAAATGTAAGTATATACAATGTACTTGAAAATTAAAACTTCTGATAAATTATTTATCCCTGGATGGAATGGGTAGCTAAGTTCCCAATCTAGAAAATAAGAGGGATAAGAAAGTGTGCTGAAGGCAATATATATATTGAGAAAAGAAAAGTTGGAAGAAATGGCCTTAACACATTTTAGTGAAAAGTTTTTACATGTAAAGATTCATTATCTGGAACATTTGGCTGGAAACATTAATCCTTTCGGACCACACAAAAATATATAAAAAGATAGACAATCCATCCAACCACATTCCATGTACTGATCCCGTAAGAAAAATCTTCATGAGCTGAATTAGTTGCATAATTGAACAGGTAACAAAACTGAAAATGTTATAAAGGAGAATATCCAGAAATACCACCAAATTCATTAAAATATCTGAATGTCAATTAACACCACAATATACAAAAACAGTGAAATCAATTCTTCAAAATACTTGCAAGGAAAAACTCAATCCACATAAGATGTATGCAAGAAGTTTTCCAAGAGTAAAGAAAAGATCAAACAAGCTACATGGCAGAAATTCCTCCAAAACAATGTTCCATATAACAAGCCACAACTCTTGAGAGTCAGTCCTGTGAATGGAGTATGGTCTTCACCAAGAGAAGCCAAAGAAGAGAAAGATATAACAGATATGACACTTATGAGAATGGACTTAACTGGCTGTGTACAACATAACTCCATCACATAACTCAGGAACACAAAAAAAAAATGACTTTTCATGCCCATCAGTTTTAACAATAAAAATACTATACTTATCTAATGGTTCATGAGCTATGAACTATTTAAGTTGGAGGATGATGCAATCGTGTGTTTAACATAATGAAGTGTTGGTTAGTTTCTAACATGATATCACACTAAGTAATGATGTAGGGAAAGGTAGGTCAGAGGAGCTAATTAATAAGTATAAGGGGTTGATAAAGGCACTTAAAGAAAATGGCCATAGCTTAATTTTGTCAGGGATACTGCCCAGAATTAACTGTGGGGATGAAGTTATAAGTAGGTCATTAGGGCTTTGGTAGTAATGGAAGATTCTGATATAATGGGAATAACTGAAACATGTTTAAACATAGATGATTTTGATGACAGAAATGTATTTGAAATACAGGGTTACAGGCTATTTAATAGGGATCGAGTATTAAAGAGAGGAGGATGAGTGGCTTTATATGTAAAATGTGAGTTACATCCTGTTGAAGTTGAGGATATCAAAAATAATAGCAAAGAGATTGAATCCATTTGGGTTTCTATTAGTGGATATAAAGGGAAAAGGCTTTTAGTAGGAATTTTTTACAGACCACCAAATGATACTACTGAAATTAATGAGAAACTTTACAATGGGATTAAGATTTCAACTATTAATGAAGTCATAATTATGGGTAATTTTAATTTCAGGCATATAGATTGGGAAATTCTAAAATCAGACCATGAGGGAGAAAGGTTTTTGGAAATTGTTCAGGATGGCTTTCTTCACCAGTTAGTCAAGGAACCAACTAGAAACAATGCTATTTTAAGACTTATTGTTAACTTCAAACATAGAAATGATTGAGAGGGTGGAAATTGGGGAACATCTGGGTGCAAGTGATCCTTGCTCTATTAGGTTCAAATAATGATATTCTGGTCATAGATTTCAAAAAAGTAACTTTTGAAGGGATGCGACAATAGTTATCTGTTGTGAATTGGGTAGCTGAGTTATCTGGAGACATTGAGCAGATGTGGAAAATTTTTAAATATTCAATGTAAATATATTCCTAATAGAAAGAAAAAGGTAGCTACAAGTAAAAAACCAGGTTGGCTCACTAAGAGTTTAAGAAATAAAATTAAAGAAAAGCATCATAAATTTAAGAAATTTAAATTGACTGGTATGACAGGAGATTTCAAAAGATTATATAAAATCAAGAAAGTTGGTGAAAGAGGATATTAGGACATAAAAAAGGGTGTATGAGAAAAAGTTGCCTGAAAATGTAAAAATTAACAGTAAGGATTTCTTTAAATACATTAAGGGGAAACAAAATGTTAGGATAGGGATAGGACCCTTGAGGGATGATGAAGAAGGGCTAGTATCTGATGATTATTAGATGGCTGGGTTATAAAATTTTACTTTTTCTTCTGTTTTTACTAATGAAGATTTAAGCAGTATTCCACATCTTGAACAGTTGATAAGTGGAAACGAGATCAAGCAAGATGACTGCTTTAATTCTGAGCTGGTTAGAAAAAAAATTGGGAAGTTTAAAAAATGATAAGGCTCCTGGGCCAGATAATATTTCCCCAATGGTTTTGAAGGAGGTTAAAGATTGGATGTGTAAGCCACATGCTACTATTTTTTGTCAGTCCTTCAATAGTGAGCAGGTACCAGAGGATTGGAAGTTATCTAATGAAACTCCTTTTTTTAAGGGAGGTGATAAAAATTGTCTCAGTAATTATAGACCCATTAGTCTTACATCAGTTGTGGAACAATTTTGGAAAGTCTATTAAAAGATGCTTTGTAAAGTCATTTAACAAAGTTTAGAATTTTACTGGACAGTCAAAATGGTTTCACTAAGAAAAAATCTTGCCTTACAAATCTTTTAACATTCTTCTGCTTATGTAGATTAGTGTAAGGGTGTAGGTTTGGTGTATCTGAATTTTCAGAAAGCAATTGACAATGTGCCACACAAAAGGCTTGAAAAAAATTAGCTCTATAGATGTGGGGGATAAGTTAGCAAATTGAACAGAAGAGTGGCTGGATGGAAGAAAGCAGAGGGTTGTTACAAATGGAGTTCAGTCAAACTGGATTAATGTCACAAGTGGGGTACCTCAGGGCTCAGTCTTAGGACAATTGCTATTTTTGATTTACATCAATGACAAAGATGAAGGGATAGTCAATAAATTACTTAAATTTGCAGATGATATTTAGGTCTTGGGTGTTGCTAGCTGTGAAGAGGATG